CTCCTCCTCCTCCTCCTCCTCCTCGTCTTCTTCTTCTTCTTCTTCTTCTTCTTCTTCTTCTTCTTCTTCTTCTTCGTCGATTAGATGGTGAGGGCTGAAGAGTTGATGAACTCCGCAGTGCTTCCCAGGTCGAGAGGGCTGGCATACAGCTTCTGGTGCATGTCCCTGTGTTGAGGCCAATATTTTTTTCTTGCTGTATCCAGTAGTGGACAGTACTGGAAAATATGTTGTGCATCTTGTCGGCTGGCACCACAAGAACAGTTGGGTCCATCACCGATCTTGAATCGGGAGAACATGCGATGTTTTCTCATTAGTACAATGTGTATGGTAGTCTAAGATGTACCCGCAAGCTGCATTGCCTTTGGTCTGCTGCAGGTCGGACATATTATTATGTGTCTGCCAATTATGATAGTGCTTTTGGTCGCTAAGTGATATAGTTTGTCCCTAAAAAGTGGCCGAGAGGTGAGGTGGGCGGAAAAGGGCGGGGATAAAGGAAAGGGCAACAGCCCGGGAGAAGGACTTTAAAAGTGCGTTATTCTGTGTATGTTCATTATGATAATGTATATACCGTCAGCCAACTGTTCCGATCTACTAAGCTCAAAATTTTGATAAACTTTTTATCACACTTTATTAATCTGTAGTATAGTTTGCATGTGCTCAAGAAATGTTAAGTTGTCCATGTTACAACATTATAATTACTATCTGCAGGTTCTCCTGTACAAACTGACAGGCAAGGACTCCTACAAACAGGCTGTTGAAGGCACCTACACCTCCTGGTTCCCCGGCGGTGACATTACATACACGCCCAAGGGCCTGGCCTTCAGATTGGTTTGGGCATCCCTTCGATACGCATGTGAGCTAGAGGCTTATATAAGTTACAATTAAGAATAGGCACCCTTGTTTTAAGTTACATGATGAAATGATTTCATTGATTTAGAGACAAATAAACCTCGTAAAGTTAATTATGGGGGAAAGGGGAAAGGAGGTTAATGACTTGATATTCACAACGAGAAATTCACCCTGGGTCTACTCTGGTCAGTTCCGGCAGCTCTGAATATTCCTTCATTCTCTATCTTTCTCTCTCTGGCCACCTTAATACATGTATGTCAATCAAATATGAAAAAAGAATTCCCCCACCCTTTACTTTACACGTTGACTCCCCACCAGCCAACATGGCAATGATGGCCCTGATCGCCGCTGACGCGGGCATCCACCCCACGGAGTACCGCCACTGGGCCATGTGTCAGATCCACTACGCCCTGGGAGACACAGGATTCAGCTACGTCGTCGGCTTTGGGGATGACTATCCTGAGAAACCTCATCATAGAGGAAGGTATGATCACCGCAGAGCTCTTCTTAAACAGAATTGGACTCCTCAAAAACAAAACAAAGCAAAACAAACCCTCAAAATTTAATCAAAACGCACCCCCCC